AAAAAAAATCACCATGAATCCCCTCAAAATCCCCCTGTCCCTTGGAACACACTCATCTTTGCCACTTTCTGCAGCAGCTCTAGACTCCTCTTTCCTGAGTGTCTTCATGAGATGTGATAAAAAAAATATAGTGACTGCTGCTGCCCAGTGTCATCCACCGGAAAGGCACGCTGGTAAAAACACGATGCTGGGTCCTCACCCACCTCAGTCACCGGATCCGGCACTGTGTGACTTCATGTCAAAATGACACGAAAGGGAGACATTCTCAATCAACTCAGGACATCAAGGCACCCAGGGCAGTGCAACTACAGACACACACGAAAGAGGACTCCAGAGCTGCTGCAGAAAGGGGCAGGAACAGTGGGATCAGTGTTTTCTAAGCAAAGAGGATTCTGAGGGGGATTCATGGCGATGTCTTTGACTATAATAAAATTTTAAGTGCAAAAATAAAAAAAAAATTATATGCAAATGCTCACTATGTATTTCAATCACAGTGCCCATCTCCTGAAGGTCTGCTTGATGAAATTCTGTCCTGAACACACTGATCGATGGCTTGCAGGACTCAGAACACACAAACACTCTGAGTTCTAAGCTGTGATCTCAGGTCTAAGGTGCACGAAGGTCACCCCCTGCTCTGGCTCTGTCATCGACCCTCGGGCTCCCTCTCCTCCTGGCCTGCATGCCAGGGTACTCAGCATTTCTCCGGCTGCTCCCCGCAACCTCCACCCTGACTCCCATCCTCTCCACATACAGTATTCCAAGCGGAGGAGAGCTGAGGCCTGCGATACTTTCTCTATTCTACCCATCAGCCACAACCTTCTCGCCTCCAACTCTTCCAGACATCACCTCTGGAGAGCTCTCCCGAAACCACGCTCAGAGGAGCTCATGGCACAGACCCCAGACCCCCAGGGGCATCTATCTATCTGCTGCTCCTTGTTCCAGCCAGGACCTGTTCCCACCTGGCCGGCGAGCCTGGAGGCAGGCTTTTCGGGCCAGACTCCGTCAGCACTTATTATCAAAGGTGCAGTAATGATAATAAATACACTATTAAGCGCAGCCTACAGGCTGGAGTTTGCCAAACCACTCTGAAACTGAAAATCCCTTGTAAACTAATCTTCACCAATTACCAAATGAGGTTAGGCTAGAAAGATCTCTGAGATCTTTGCCAGCTCTGGGCTTCTGGGTCTGTGGATGTCTCTGAAGCCAAAGAAATGGGAGCCGTTCAGGCTCAGGCTGTGAGAACCCTAAGAGGAACCATGGGCGCTCTTGGGTATCAGAATAAATCAGAAAGCGAAGAGGAGAGGAAGGGAAACAACCAGATGGCAGTCAGGACTAGAGACAGAGGCAGAAAGCACCTGGCTGGTGGGACCCACAGGGGGTAGCAGCCAGGCCTGGGGTCTCTCCGGGACAGCTCACTTTTCATCACGCAAATGGGAGGATTATGTGCTCCAAATCACTCACTGCATGTCCAGAGCTTAGGGAACATCTGGCCCAAAGCAGGCTTTGCATGAAGATGAACCAGATTCGGAGCCAACTTGGGAGGGGAGTAGGCTGGAGGTGGGGGTGGAAAGGAAAGGGTGACTGGAAAGGTCAGAGGGGAAAGCTGAGAAATGGAGCGAGACCCTTCATAGTCCTGGATCCCCGGCCAGCTCTCTGAAACACCCCCTTCCACTTCTTTTTGTTTGTTTTTGTTTTCTGAGACAGGGTTTCACTGTGTAGTTCAGGTTGATGGCAAACTCACTGCAATGCTCCTGCTTCAGCCTCCTGAATGTGCGATTACAGGTGCCGGCTCCTGCTTCCGCTTTTACGTTCTGGGGACTTACCTTTTTTCAATATTCCTAAAATCTCCCTCCTTTACCCACTTTCACCAGGCTCCGTGCCTCCTCCAAAAAGTCCCTCTTAAGGCCTAAGACCTTCCTCCTTCCTCCACGGCCCCGCGGCCCCCCATTTCATCGTTCCTGTTGTAAACACTTCTCCTGGGTGTCTACCAGAGGCTGAGGATCTGAGACCAAGTCCCTGTCCAAGGGAGCTGCAAGAGGGGGCAACAGCGCTCGCTGCACGGCGGGCAGGGAAGCAGAGGAGTCTCAGCTGCTGCTTCCCGTTTCAGTTCCTCAAAATCGTGCGGGCTGCAGAGCCGGGTCTGCCCTCCTCCGGGCGCCCCTCTCCCCACTTCCCCTCACCTGCCTACTCTCACTACCCTGCGCGACGTCTCCCCGATGCCCCCTGCACCCCAACTGCAGGCGGGATCCGCTGCTCCCCGCGGCCCTGAGCCCTGCGCCTCCCCTGTCACGGGATCCCCGGCACCCGAGTGCCCAGCACCCAGTCCAGCACCCACCCCAGCACCCAGTGGATCCCTGCACCCGGCCCCCGCCCGGCCCTTAGCCCCGCCCCGGCCCCGCCCCCTCACCTTCGCATTTGCTGGGCAGCCGGACCCAGTCGGTCTCCTCTCCCCGGGCCTGGCTCGGGCCGAGCTCCGGGGCTGGCAGCAGCAGCAGCAGCAAGGGGAGAAGCGGAAGACAGCGGGGCGCGAGCTCGATCAGCGACTCCATGGCCCAGGCGGATCCGACCCGCGCCGACCAGGAGCCGCTTCCTCCCGCGGCGCGCGCCCAGCAGCTTCGCCGCGCCGCTTCCGGGACTGCGCACGTGCCTCGGCGTAACCACGGCAACCGCGAGCCCCCCCCACCCCCTTTCCCCTGAAAGCCTCGGCCCGCCTTCCTAATGGACGGAGGATGAAGCCAATGAAATTGCTCAGGGTTTGCCTTCCAGCCAATAGAAAGACGACTCTTTTTCGGTTTTGGCCAATAAGAGCGTGGATGGTGGCTTCAGGGTCCTATGGCTACATTTTTCCCACCCCTTAACGGAGGGCCTGGAAGAGGTGAGAGGATGAGGACCCAGGGAATAGAACGCCGGGTCTGGCCCTGCGTTCGCTGGTTCGGGCGCGTTGGTCCTGGAGGATGTGGGGAAGACTTTGTCCATGGTTTTCTCTTCCTCCTTAAGCATCACTTCCTGCCTAGGGTCCTAAAGCCTCACTGAATTGTTATCCTTGCTTGAGACATTTCTAGGTAAATGGATGCATCTACAGACCATACTCTTTTTTTTTTTTTTGGTTTTTGTTTTTTTTTCCGGTACCGGGAGTCGAACTCACGACCTCGCGCTTGCCAAGCAGGCGCTGTGCCGCTGAGCTAAATCCCCAGCCCCTTACAGACCATACTCTTAAGTGATATCAATCAAACACACATGTGTAAACACCGCCTTGTTTCTCTGGTGTGAGAACCTAAAGTGTAATAAGGACCAAAATGTATAACAGACATTGGGAAACGGAAAGAAAATGTTCAAATGGGGAGGCAAACTAGGCAGAGAAGAGGCGGGGAAAGGAAAACAGAAAACAAGGAAAAAATGGAAAAGCTTTTGTAAATGGGAAGGGGAATGGGAAAAAAGAAACAAGATATATCATGTACAGGTACAAATTCTCTGTGATGAATGTGCTCATTATGTATATGTAAAATGTACCAATAAAATCTGATTGGGAAAAAAACTTGTTATCCTCGCAGTCCCTCTAGCTGTCACCTTGCTGGATGACAGCAGTCCGGGTGCCCAGTGACCCTGCATTTGCCCTTGTGGGGACTGGAATCCATAACTTCCGGCCCAGTGCGGTTCCTGGGGTCCACTGGTTGCTATGCTACACAGACTGCTTGCGGTTGAAGCATTCCTGGAATTAAAGCTTATCGAGCAGATGGCATTTTCTTTGTGGAAGAAGCTCACCCCCTTCCCTGTCCTATTATTTATTTCTTTGAAGGCTGAGCTCGCAGAAGGCAGGAGCTCTGCAGATGAGCGGTGTATTTCCCTTCCTTCCACTTCCCCAGCAGCAGCAGAGACTGAGCTGGCTCCAGGAGACAGCGAGCAGGTCCCCTCTCTGTGTTACCAGGAGAACTCTGGGTCCTTGGAGCTGCTTCGCGTGATCCCCGGGCTCAGTCCTGCAGCTCTGGGAATTCTTCCACAACTGCACTTTTGCCCATAAAGCAAAAACGTTCCCCACTGCTTGTTTCCTCCCAGAAGTTGGCTATTGTGCCGCCCTAGGGAGACGTGGGTGGACCGAGGCCCAGGCCTTCATCATTTTCTGGCCGCAGTGTTGGTCCCAGGCACGCTGGGGAGGCAGGGGCTGCCACAGGAGGAGCCCGCAGCACCCATGCCAGTCACTTCCTCCCTGAGGCCCAGCGAGACTCGAGACTCTGGGAGGTGAAGGCCAGCTGGAAGTGCTCAGGGAGGTGACATCCAGCCAGCGATGCAGTGGGGGTGGGAAGCCCTGCTTCCAGAACGGACAAAAGGCCGCAGAGAGGACATTCAGGGAGGTGGGATTAATTTGCCAGAGACCAAGAACTCAGAATCAGGCCTAAGTGCTGGAAGGAACCATGGCTCAGGAAGTATGGCCACAGCTGCTCTTGTTCTCCCCGCCTGCACCATGTTGGGGGGCAGCAGGCCTGTGGGATGGGGGAGGATCCTGCCCAGAGACTGTAGGTCCCCTCATCCCTGAAGCCTGAAGGCTACAGAGAGGCAGGGGTCTCCTGCCAGGGTTCAGGAGGAGGAGCCGGCGAGTCTCACCAAGGGGGCGGTCGCAGGCTCAGGGAAGCTGGTGTCACTTCCACCAAGTAGGGGACACTGAGGCATAGTTCCTGCTCCCTCCTGGTCACGCCCAGAGAATCCTTGAGAAAAGGCTGCATTTCCTGGCAGCACTGGGGACACGGGGCCCACAGATCAGAGGCCACTGTGGGAACTGCATAGTCCGTCAATGCAGGAATCCTCTTTAGAGCTGAGCACCCTGGCACACCCCTGCAGTCCCACCACCTGCAAGGCCTCAGCAGGAGGATCACCACAAGTTCTAGGCCAGGCTGGGCTCCATAGTGAGTTCAAGGCCAGCTTGAACTACCTTGTCTCAAAAATAAAGAAATAAGAGCTGGGTGTGGTGATACAGGTCTGTAATTCTAGCACTCTGGGAGGCTGAGGCAAGAGAGTTGCAAATTTAAACCCAGCCTGGGCAGATCAGTGACTCAGCAAGACTCTGTCTCAAATTTAAAAATTAAAAAAAAAAGGCTGAGGGCCAGGGATACAGGTACAAGCACCTGCCTGGCAAGCGCAGGGTCCTGAGTTCGATTTCCGGTACCCCCCCAAAAAAAAATGCCAGGCATGGTTTCACAAGCCTGTAATCCCAGCACTCGGGGGGCTGAGGTAGGAGGATCACTACGAGTTCAAGGCTAGCCTGGGCTAAAAAGTAAGCTCAAAGCCAGCCTGAACTGCATAGTGAGATCCTGTCTCAAAAAAATAAATAAATAAAAAATTAAAAAAATAAATTTTAAAAAAAGAGCTAGGGATGCAGCTCAGTGCAAAGGCCCTGGGTTCAATCCCCAGCCCTAAATAAAACAACACAACACAACCTCAAAAACTGACACCTCTTTAGGAAACATGGCAAAACCAAAACAGCTGTTCCCTTTAGAGCCTGGCTCATTGCTGAAGCTTGGTGAGTATTTGTCAGGTGAATAAGGGCCCTGAGTTGGTTCACAGAGCATAGACTTGGAATCACCACCACCACCCATGGGCTGGGCCCTGGGCCAAACCTGTTTTCTAGCTCCAGGTTTTGCTTCTTCCATTGAGTATAGACAGGACTTAAGCCCAGCACCCTTCCCAGGCTCCTGGCTCCCTGCCTGCCCTTCAAAGCTTGGGTCAGATCAGGGGGCCATGCCCAGCACCTGACTTCAGGAAGACAGAGGTGGGCTGCGTCCTCCGGCCCAAGCCCTGTGCTGCAACTCCAGCTTCCTGCGCTTAGGAAGCCTCCTCCTCCAGGGAGCCCTCCCAGAATTCCTGTGCCTCTAACTCTGCCCAATTCCTGCCCCATCCCACACAATTAAATATTAACCATTTAAAATTATGAGATTAGCCTGGTGTGGTGGTGCACGCCTGTAATCCCAGCACTCGGGAGGCTGAGGCAGGAGGATTGTTGTGAGTTTAAGGCCAGCCTGAACTGCATAGCAAGACCCTGCCTCAAAAAAGACAAAATAAATAAATAAAAATAAAATTATGAGATTAGGGCTGGGGATGTAGCTCAATGGCACAAAGCCTGCCTGGCAAGTACAAGGTCCTGAGTTTGATTCCTGGTACCAAAAATAAATAAATGAATAAAAATAAATTATGACATTTAAGCATATTTTAATTTTCTTGTGTCATTTAAATTCTTTAATTGTGCTCAGTTCTTTGCTCCTGGAATGCCTGGGGTCTGGGCAGATCTGAGCTGACCAGGGCTCTTAATGTGAAGAGGAGACACAGCCTTCATCTGCCCAAAGCCCTCAGTCTGTGGGAGGCAGACCCGGCCCCAGGAAACCCATCAACCGGAGAAGGCAGGTCATACATTACAGAATGCTCAGAGTCAGGTGATGTGGTAGTATATCTCTGATCCCAACATTGGAAGCTGAGGCAGGAAGATTGCAAGTTCAAGGCCAGTCTGGGGTACTTAGCAAGAACCTGAATCAAAATTTTAAGCAAAGCTCTGAGTCTTGGGAAAGGAATCCCGAGAGTGTCCTGAGCAGCAGGCTGGGCACTGTGGGTGGAGCAGGTCCCCTCATGACCTGTGTGGCAGGTGCCCCTTTAGCAGTCCCTTGGTCACTGTGGCCAGGTGCCAGGGTGGTAGCTGCCAGTGGCTGCAGGAGGCTGAGGCAGGTGGGTGCAGGTCAGGAGCACGTCAAGGAGCAGCAGCTTGAAGAGCAGCAGCCTCAGGGCCCCCAGCCACAGGCCCTGGGCCTGGAACCCTGCACAGGGAGGAGCGGGAGGAGTGGAAGAGCCACAGGGGCCTCTCCCCTGCCCTGGCCTCGCACCTCTTCTCCGTCCCCTCCACCAGGGAGCCCTCAGAGGACCTTCCCAGCCCTCAAGGGCAGTGGGCTGGCAGGATTAGCATCTGACACTGACAGTAACCACTCATCACAGCACTGTGGGTGGCTGAGGCAGGAAGACTGCAAATTCCAGCCCAACTTGGGGAACTTAGTGGTTTAGACACTGGCTCAAAATAAAATATAGAAATATTTTAAAAGGCTGGGGATGTCGCTCAGTGCTACTCTGCCTTCTGTCGCCTGTGCTCACTCTGACCTTCACTCTGACGTCCAGGTGTAAGGCTGAGGAGAGAGGACCCACCCCATCTGATCCCAGGGGAGACTGAGGCCCAGCCTTTCCCCTGCCCCACCCTGGGCCGAGATCCTGGGTCCCAGGAGAAGGTCCCTGCTCTGGCCACCTCCCGGCCCGCTCGGGCTCCCAGCCCTGTGGCGGTACTCACCGCCCGGAGGCTCCTGGAGGCAGGTCCTGGTGCCAGAGGCTGCTCCTGCCGGCCAAGGGGAGGGCCATGGGTGGGTGCCCGGAGCCGGGCCAGGCGCCCCCGCGGTGTGCGGCTCTCAGGGCAGCGGATGCCAGCGCCAGCGTGGGAGCCCACAGAGCGGCCGCAACGCCTCCCACCTCCCGCCCGCTCCTGGGGTGCAAGGCGGGCCCCACCTGACAGCCGCAGGGGCTGCGTGCTCCGGCGCGGGCCCCCGGCCCCGGGCTCCGCGTGGCAGACCAGGGGCTCCCAGGCGGCCGGGTCCTCGGCGGGCAGGGACAGCTGGGCCAGCGCGGTCCAGGTGCCGTCGGTGGCGGGGGCCGGGCCGTAGGTGAAGGTGTCTAGGGCGCTGCCGTTGCCGGCGGAGAACCAGACCGAGCCGTCCAGGCCAGGGGGTGCGGCGTCCAGGACCAGGCAGACCACCATGGTGCGCCGCTGCCCGCCCACCAGCAGCGTCACCGGCGGGGCCAGAGAGGGGAAGACTGCAGCGCCCGGCCCTGCGGGAGCGCACACACCGTCACCAGATCGGCCCTCTCCCTGCGCTGCATCTCGCTGTGGGCGAGGGCTCGGGTTCTGCCTGTATACACTTCACCACCACCATCCATCCATCCATCCCTCCCTTCCTCCATCCTCCCCCATTCTTCCCACCTTCCATCTGCTTATAATGTCTGTCCATCCTGTCTGTCTGTCCACCCATCCGTCTTTCCCCCCCACCCCTTGCTTTTTGAGACAGGGTCTTGCTAGAGAGCCTGGCTCGCCTTGAACTTGTAGTGATCCTCCTGCCTCAGCCTCCTGAGTGCCAGGATACAAACGTGTGCCTGGCTCCATCTGTCTGTCCTTCTGTCCACCTGTCTATCTTTTCCAAGCTCCTTTCTATGCCACGTGCTGGGGACGTAACTTGGAACAAGACCTTGTCCCTGTCCCTGAGGAACCCAGTTGCATGGGAAAGATAGCAGGTGTGCGAGCAAAGCTCATAATACTGTGTGCTGGTGGCCTTGGGACAGCGATCACCTCTGGAGAGGGAGGAAGGGAGACAGGGCCTGGAATCAGAGCAAAAATAACACAGGTATCTGTGACTTCTTTCTCTGAAAACAGATCTGATTTGGATATGACCAAACACAGGGGTGTGTGTGATCTTCTCCCCACTTCTTCCCTCTGTGTCTGTTTTGGGTGGGGGCTGATTCTGTTTGGGGTGTGTGTGTGTGTGTGTGTGTGTGTGTGTGTGGTGCCCGGGATGGGACCCAAGGCACATGTTACACAGCACTCAGTTGCTGAGCCATAGCCCCAGGCCCCACTTTTAAAAGGCAGCTTTGTAGCCACACATGGTGGCGCATGCCAGGAGGATCGTTGTGAGTTCGAGACCAGCCTGGACTACAAAGTGAGCTCAAGGCCAGCCTGAACTGCATAGCGAGACCGTGTCTCAGAAAGACAACAAATAAATAAATAAATAAAAGAAAGGCGGCTTTGTTTAAGCCACACCCTATACAATTCACCCACTTAAAGTTCGGGTCTAATATCTTATAATTTAAAAATATAACTCAGAGGGCACTGACAGTATTTATTTATGTCATGGTGTTCAGAATAGTCCGGAGTTTCCAGCCTTACTCTTTTCAGGGAAGATGACCCGTCTAAGACACAGCAAATGTTAAATTTGGAATATCTGGATTTTTGAAACATCTGCAAATTCGCAGTCTGAGTTCTGCGCAGCCAGGCTGAAGACCGGCTGGGGACACTGGGAGCTGCGGGGGTGGGGTGGGGGCGGTGATGGGAACCCCTGAGAGATTTGGGGGAGCACATAGCCAGGCTAGGGCAAGGGCAGAGAAGTCGCCAGTGAGAGTTTGCACTGCGACTAGAGCCGACGGACCTTCCCACCTTGAAGCCTGACTGTGACCCTGTCCTGTGTCCCGAGGCCAGAACCAAGGGCACAGCTCAGGAAGGGCTGGGGCTCACTCACCCACTCAGTTCCTGGGGCGGACTGTCCCGCAAGGCTAGTAACACCAGCCCCATAAAGCTGAAAAGGCCATAATGCGGAACGCCTTGGCAGATCAGTTTGAGTGCTACTTATTTTCCCTTCTTTCTTTTTTTTGGAGTGTTGGGGACTGAATGCAGGACAAATGCTTTCCTGCCGAGCTACATTCCCAGCACACCCAGCCTTTTTCTGAGATGGGGGTCTTATTAGGTTGCGCAGGTTGGCCTCAGACTCACGATCCTCCTGTCTCAGCCTCCTGGGTACCTTGGATTATGGAGCCACACCACTGCCTCCAACTGTATTCTTGATACTGCTATCACTCAGGCAAAGAGGGGAAATAGGAAAGCTGGAAGTGAGTCCCGGACCTCCAGCTTCCTGAGCCTCTTCTGCTGTACAGAAAAAGACAGTGCCAGAGCTGAGTGCTGCCTCTCCTCCGTGAAGCTTGCCAGGATTACTTTCTCTCACCCCAGCTGCTTCCTTCCCACACCTCAGGCCTCTTGCCATGGCTTGCCCTGGTCTACCTGTGCCACCAGCGGGGTATCCAGGACACACCTCAGGCCAGCTGGGATCAAGGAGGCCCCCTGAAGCTGGTTGTAATGGGCACACACCTATAATCCCAGCACTCTGGGATGCTGAGGCAGGAAGATCACAAGTTTGAGCCCATCCTGGGGAATTTAGCAAAAATACTGTCTCAAAGTAAAAAAAGAGGGCTGGAGATACAGCTCAGCAGCACAGTGCCTGCCTGGCAAGTGTGAGGTCATGAGTTCCATTCTTGGTACAAAAAAAAAAAAGAAAAGGAAGCCAGGCACAGTGATATATATCTGTGATCCCAGCACTCAGGACGCTGAGGCAGGATTGCCAAAAGTTGAGGTCAGCTTGGGCTCCGTAGTGAGTTCAAGGCCAGCCCGAACTACACAAGGAGACCCTGTCTAAAAACAAAAACAAGGGCCAGAGACATAGCTCAGTGGCACAAGTGCCTGCCTGGCAAGCATAAGGTCCTGAGTTCAATTCCCAGTACCAAACCAAACAAAAAAACAAAAATCAAAGTAAAAAAGAAAAAGAAGCTGGGTGTGGTGGTACACCCCGGTAATCCCAATACTTAGGAGGCTGAGGCAGGAGGAGTGCTGAGTTTGAGGCCAGCCTGGGGTACATAGTGAGTTTAAGCACAGCCTAAACTACACAGTGAGATCTGTCTAAAACAAGGCAAGGGGGAGGAGATGTAGCTCTCTGGGTTCAATCCTTAGTATCAATCAATCAATCAATCAATCAGACCCCTGACTCGGAGGTCAAGCAGGTCCCCTGTAACACACACACACACACACACACACACACACACACACACAGGCTTACACCCCCAGGTGACACCAGAATTCTCCCTGGGACACAGGAACCCTGTGGCCTGGCCTTGACTTTGAGAGGCTGATTATCACCCTGGCCAGGCCCTGAGGCCTGGGGACCCCTCCTGGCCACTGGGGGGAGGAAGCAGGAAGTGGACTTGAGACTCCCAGCTGTGCTGGCACCTGCTCCCCAGGGGCGGCACTGACAGCCAGGACCTGCTGTGTCCCAATCTCGGTGCTCATGCCACCTAACACAGCCTGGCTCCACCGCCCTGGCCTCTGTGGATGTGGGGCCAGGCGGCCCCCCGCTCTCCACAGCTGTACCAGGCCAGGGCTGCCTGGCCACCCACACGGCTCCAGTGCAGGCGCCCTGGAGGGAGAGGAGGGCGGGCGCCCAGTGAGCCTGTCTCCCGTCTTCGTCCTGTGCCCTTGCGCCCTGCCCACACCCACGGAGGCCCAGAGGGCACCAGAGGACGCAAAGGGGCTCACCTGTGGGCAGGGCTGGACACTCGAAGGCCAGGAGAAGCAGCAGCCGCATCCCCACCATGGCCCACGGAGACGGCTGGGCACAGGGGGAGGCGCAGCCTGGAGAGAGCACCCACAGCCAGCTGCACCGCAGCCGCTCGCCGCCAGCCGTTTCCCACCCCACCCCAGCCAGTCCCCTCCCAGGGCTAGGGATGGGGCTTCCCACACAGGGAGCGGGGTGCCCCCCTTCTGAGGAGCAGCTCAGAGGGCGAGGCCTCCCGGGCCCCTGACAGCTGTGGGTGCTGCGGGTCCCAGAGCACCAGGCGGGATGCCAGGGCCTGGAGAGCAGCTCTGCACCGCACCCCCAACACAGTGAGCTCCACTTCACGGGGGCAACTGAGGGTCTGGAAGGTGCGGCAGGCAGAGGGTGGGAGCAGGGCTCAATCCCTCCCAGACGGCGCCTAGCAGTCAGAGAGAGGCCCAGGCATCTTCTTGCTGTGGGTTCTAAGCCCCCTTTAACCTGCTTTTTTTTCCCTCTTTTTTGTAGTACTAGAAATTAAACTGACAGCCTCCCTACTTGTTCCTTTCTTTTCTCTGTTTTTCTTCAGACAAGATCTCACTAGGTTACTAAATTGCCTAGGCTGAGCTAGAACTTGTGATCCTCCTGCCTCAGTCTCCTGAGTGCTGGGTTACAGGTGTAAACACCATGTCTGGCTTCAAACCCCTTCTTAAAATAAAATTTTTAAACCTGGCGTGGTGGCACATGCCTGTAATCCTAGCACTCAGGAGGCTGAGGCAGGAGGATCATTGTGAGTTAGAAGCCATCCTGGGCTACAAAGTGAGTTCAAGGGCAGTCTGAGCTGCATATAGAGACCCTGTCTCGAAAAGACAAAAAATAAATAAACAAATTAAATTAAATTAAATTAAATTAAATTTTTAGTCGGGCATGGTGACGCATGCCCGTAATTCAAGCACTTGGGAGGCTGAGGCAGGAGAATCATGATTTCAAGGCCAACGTAAGCTACGATAATGAGTTAGAGGCCAGCCTGGACTATAGAGTGAAACATACTTTTTCCCCAAGAGCTCATTGATTGCTTATGGAATAACCCTTTCTCACCCATTATTGTCCAGCCCTTCCTTACTGCATGCCAAGTCTTTTCTGCAGGCAGACCTGTCTCTCCCGGGCTCCTGGACCTGCTCACTCCGGTGCCAGCTTCATCCCTGGCCCCTTTGATCTCCCTGCTGCCCCTCTCACAGCATCTGGAGGCCGCGGGCTCCCAGAGTTCCCAGGCCACCGAGCCAGGTGCGCAGCCACGGGGGCGTGCAGGGAGGCGAGGCAGGTGTCCTAACGACTCTTGCGTGACCACATCACAGAGGGCGAAGGTCCCTGGCCGCCCCTTCGGACAGCAACTCGACGCCTCCTCCCCCAGCTGCCTGGCTGCTAGATGATGCGTCCAGCCCCACCCTGCTCAGCCTGGGTGCTTCTAGCTTGCTTGTTTTCTGTCCTTTTTTTTTTTTTTTTTTTTTGGTTTTTCTCCGGTACCAGGAACCGAACTCACGACCTTGCGCTTGCCAGGCAGGCGCTTTTAGTAGTATTAAGGGGCTGGGGATGTAGCTCAGCGGCACAAGTGCCTGCATAGCAAGCGCAAGGTTCTGAGTTTGATTCCTGGTACAAACAAACAAACAAAAAATAGTAGCATTAAAGATTGAACCCAGAGCCTCTGCACTGAACTACATCCCAGTCCCTTTATTCTTCGCTATTATTTTGAGACAAGGTCACGCTAAGTCACTAAGTTGTCCAGACTAGGCTAGAACTTGCTAGCCTTCTGCCTCAGCCTCCTGGAGTGCAGGGATTACAGGGATTGGATGTGTTCCAGGCCTACCCTGGGAATCTCCCTCTGCCCCAAATCCTGTGGTTCCCGGAGAGCCCTGCACTGAGCTCTGGTCTCTGCACCTGAGGGCCTGGGCACCACACCTCCCCTCCCCAAAACCTAGGCCCTTGTCCAACTGATACAAGCTTCACAGGGTAGGAGCCGGGAAATGATGGAAATGTAGCCGAGCGCACTAGAGGAGACTGCTGCTCTCATCATGTAATCTGGGGCCAGCACCCAGCGCGTGACAGCTCAATGTGTGCACACTGAGATATCAGAAGCGGGCGCCCATCACTTATCCAATGGAAATCCCAGCTGCTGGCGCTGGGGGTGGGGCTCAGGACACAGTGGTTCCATGATTTCAATGAACTGAGCCAAGTGTGGCGGTGCACGCCTGCCTGTAATCTCAGCGCTCAGGAGGCTGAGACAGGAGGATCATATATTTAAGCCTAGCCTGAGGAATTAAGCGATTTATTGAGACTCTGTCTCAAAATTAAAAAAAAAAAAAACTTTAAAAAAGACTGTGGATGTACCTCAGTGTGAAAGCCCTGGGTTCAATCCCCAACTATGCATATAAATTAGTAAATAAGAGTGAAGCCAGCTGTAGTAGCACACACCTGTAATCCCAGTGCTTGGAAAGCTGAGGCAGGAGGGTCGCTGCAAGCATAAGACCAGCCTGTGCTTATAGTGAGTTCAAGGCCAGCCTGAACTACATAGCAAGACCCTGTACCCAAAAACAACAACAAGAAAGGTTCGGCATGGTGGCACATGCCTGTAATCCCAGCACTCAGGAGGCTGAGGCAGGAGGATTGTCACTAGTTCAAGACCAGCCTGGGCTACAAAGTGAGCTTAAGGCTAGCCTGAACTGTACAGCGAGACCCTGTCTCAAAAAAACAAACAAAAAGGAAAAAAGAAAAAAGGATCTTTTTTATCAAAGGCAAGGAAACTCATAAAAATTGAAGAAGGAGCCAGGTGCATGTCTATAATCCTAGTATTGGGAGGCTGAGGCAGGAGGATAGTTCTGAGTTCGAGACCAGCCTAGGCTACAAAGTGAGCTCAAGACCAGCCTAAACTGCATAGGGAAACCTTGTCTCAAAAAGACTAAAAAAAATTAAAAAATAAAAAAAGCATTGAAGAAAGGCTTAAATCAGACATAGGGAAACTTCTAAAGGTTCCAAAGACGGGCACAGAAGTGTGTCTCTATCACACCATGATGACCACAACTCAGGCAGACAGCCTCTTGCCATGCTGGAAGGAGGCGCTGGACCGACCATGGGGTGGAATTTTCTGCCAGCTCTGAGGGTTTAGAGGCACAGGGGCTGCTATTCATGACCTCATGTGAGACCGCATGTGTCTGCAAAGCTCATGTAGGGGCAGCTGAGGAATTTCTGGAAACTTTGCCCAAGCTGACTGCAAGGAACCTCACTTGCCAGTGCAAATCCCGCCAGAGCGGCCTGGCAGCCATGGCTGGGAACAGCAGCCAGGTGAGCAGGTGAGCTGTGCGTACAGCCGGCCAGGCCAGAGCGCTCTGTAGATTTGGCGTGGGGACGTCTCTGACCGCTTGGTTGTCAAGATGGCTTCTCTGCTCCATGGATCTGCAGTCGGATCTGATGTCCCCGCCCAGAGCTGAGGTGCTGGCCTGGCTTCCTTCATACCCAGTTTCCTGGGCACGGGAAAGAGACCAACTTGATCTTATGTAAGCTGCTGTTATTCTGGGTTTTCCAGTGCTCACTGCTAAAACAGATCTTAACTAAAACATGTGCCACATATTCTGGGTCCTAGCAGGGAAACAGATGGGAAGCTTGAAGAGAGTTGGAGAAAGAGCTGTTTATAAAGATATGGGCAGGGTACAGAGAGAGCACAGGCCCTCGAGGCAGCCGCCATAGTACCTGGAGCCACCGGGAGCTGTGACCCTCAGGTGAGGAGCATGCTGGTGACACGTACATGCAGGGGAGCAGGAGGACAGACTCCCAGGCCTCACTGTACCCCCATCTGAGCCTGACGGGTGCCCCCCTGCTGTGGAAGTCCCTGGGAATAGCTTAGCCTCCCAGGACACAGTGGGGGTGAGGACGTTGGATTTGGAGGAATTTTGGTTATGAAATTTTGTTTGTTTGCTTGCTTGTTTGTTTGTTTGTTTGCCTAAGACAGGCCGGACTTGAACTCACTACATAGCCCAGGCTGCCCTTGAACTCATAGCGATCCTCCTGCCCCAGCCTCCCCAGTGCTGGAATTACAGGTGTGTGCCAATGTGCCTGGACACTTTGGTTATGATTTTAAAATATTATATCTTGCTGGGCATGGTGGTGCATGCCTGTAATTCCAGCACTCCACTCAGGAAGCCGAGACAGAGGATCGCTGCAAGTTTAACGCTGGCCTGGGCTACATAGTAAGTTCAAGGCCATCTTAAACTGCATAGTGAGAATCTTGTCTCAAAAACCCCCAAAATTAAATTAGCTTAAATTAAAATATTTTGCATCCCACAGGGTAGTACTTGACCTTCCAGGGTATAGTTTTCCAGCTGTACCTTAACAAGGCTAGCCCACACCCAGCCAGCCGGCTGCTTCTAGGACATGAGACAGGAATTGTCATCTCTACATGTCCTTGGCTGGAGCATGTGTGCCCCAGATGGAGGTTACTGATGTCCACTTCACAGTGACAGGGCTGGCATGCTGTGAGCCCAGGGATGGTGGCACTCTGAGAGGAGACAGCAGAGTCATCCCAAACTGCATGTGTCCCTCCAGGTGGCAGTCACCATGGGAACAGCGACTGGGACACGGGATCCGAGTGAGCTTCTGTGCCTACACCAGGGCCACTCACACACAGGTCCTCGAGCACACCTGGCAGGTCCTCCAGCACACCTGCATCTCGGCCCTGATGATCGTTTGTCCTTCCGCCTTGCTGTGGACCACTGTCCTTGTGCCCTTTATTTTTTCTGGCGCTGGGGATAGCACGCAAGGCCCCATCATTCGGGGGGTGTTGTACACTGAGCTGCACCCCAGCCCACTTTTTCCTTGATGTTGGGCACCACAGTTGGGCCCCTGCACCCCAGGGACCCTCCAGGCCACAGTTGTCCCTGAAGTCAGGGAGCCCAGTCCCATCCCTTCATCCAGTGACTGCAGTCGTCAGAGCAAGGCAGCGATGCTGGTGGCTGTCACAGGGATTTAACAGCTTAGCAAAGGGAGTGCTTTGGAGCCTCCTAAGCTGCGCAGCTGGGGCGCTAAGAAGGCTGCACAGAATAAAGCCAATCCGGCACTGTCAGCTCCTAGACTCCCCGTTCCTTCACATGCCAGGGAGTCCTGGCACCTCAGGCTTATTACCTGTGGGTGACCATCAAGCCTGGCTTTAACGAACCAGCCCGCAGGCTCTCCGCACCCCTCCTGGGTGGCTGAGCCAGCACGTTAAACCCCAGGTCTTGGATGACGGCTGTGGCATGGGTTTGGTCCAAGTGAACCTCACATTCTACCTTCCCAGCCTCGCTCTTCACAGCCCCGCGGCCTGCCAGGGCAGCCTGGCAAGGCCCCCTCTCTGCGGGTGAGAGCTTGCGCTGCTCCTTCGGGAGCTGCTCTGGGATCTAACCCACCACGGCCCAGCTACTCAGGAGGCTGAGGTAAGAGGACAGCAAGTTCAAGTCCAGCCTGGGCAACTTGGTGATTCAGCAAGACTCTGTCTCAAAATTTCAAAAAAGGGGTGAGGATATAGTTCAGTGTGAAAGTCTTAGGTTCAATTCCCAGCACCACAAAGATGAAATAAAGAAAAGAAAGAAAAACCAGTGAATGTGTGGTCTCTCTTTATTTATTTATTTATTTATTTATTGGTTGTTTTCCGGTACCAGGAATCGAACTCACGACCTTGTGCTTGCCGGGCAGGCGCTGTGCCGCTGAGCTAAGTCCCCAGCCCCTAATGCGTGGTCTCTTGATTCTATGTGCACCCAAAACTTAACACAGCAGGTTCCATGTTGTATTATTTCTGTAATAAATCACAATCATCACATAAATTACTTCAGAGACTTCCCTAGACGGCTAAGAGCCCTGGAGGCCAGGGCACAGCTGGGTGTGCTCTTGTCTATAGGGGTTGGGGATTTAGCTTAGTGGCACAGCGCCTGCCAGGCAAGCGCAAGGTTGTGAGTTTGATTCCCGGTAGAGGGGGAAAAAAAAAAAAAAAGACCTTGTCTATGAAGAGTAATTCGGTCAACACCTTGTGCTGCTATTACAGAACACCAGGAACCAGGTGATTCAGAGACAAAGGAACTAATTTCTCACAGTCCTGAGGCTGGGAGTCCAAGGTCAAGGAGCTGCATCTGCGCCTGCCTGTGTGTCCTAACCCAGTAGGAGAGCAGGGCGCGATGGCGCACACCTGTAACCCCAGTGCTGCAGAGGCTGCAGCAGGGTCTCACTCACTAAATTGCCAAAATGTCCAGATATAGGAAACCTGGCCAAAGGTCCCCAACTGCCTGTATGAGGGGTACAATGAAAGGATAAAATAAGAGACAGAGACAAATTTATTTTTCTTCTTTGGTACCGGGAATCAAACTCAGGACCTTGCGACAGAGACAAATTTAGTAATGCATGAAAAGGGGGGCTTGGGCCGGGGATATAGCTCAGCGGTACAGCGCCTGCCTGCGGGAGTCGGTGGTCTCTCCGTGGTCCCCAGGAGAAACCACTGAGAGGATACAGAAAATAAAGACAAGAGACAATAGCCGGGGTCAGGCGGAGTTACCTCTTGCCTGATGAGCAAGAGGACTGACTCCCACAGTAGGGGCCTTTATTTTATACACTTGCAAAGTAGTATCCTGAGAGATAATGTTGCCTAGCGACTAACAACTGTAATTGTCCAGCAGGATGCCTTTTTCAATACAGAGGTAGCTTGACTGCTTGACCAATAACCAGCTCCAGTGGCTCCCAACACCTGCCTAGTAAGCACAAGCTCCTGAGTTTGATTCCTGGTACCAAAAAGAAAAAAAAAAAAGAAAGAAAGAAAAAGAAAAAGAAAAAGAAAGGGGGGCTGGAAGGTCAGTGCCTCGGATGGGCAAAGACAAAGATTCTATAGCGCACCAGGGTTTTTATTAGCTGGTGCATGGGGAGGTTTACTGAGTGATTCCAGGAACTGTAATGACAATGACATGGGCGAGTAAAAGAACAACGCATTCATGCAAGGAGGAGACAAGCGCCAACAAGGCAACTGTAGTTTCCCCAGGTGAAGCCTTTACTACTGCTACTACATTGTCTAAAGATCCTGGTCATCCGCTGCAGGCCTTATCTTGCCCTGTGAGCACCACAGCGTCACTAGCTGTAGGGCCTCAGCTGTGACTGAGAGAAAGCAGAGTTTCCATCTTCCAGTTCAGCTTACAGGGCAGGACAAAGACAGCCTCAGACAGCCTCCAGACTCAGTTTATAACTTGTGGTCCCCAACGCCCAGGCTTGGTGTTAGGCCAGGCAGTGTGCCCCTGAGAGGGCAGCGTGTGAAGCTTCGTGACAAGCCAAAGATGCAGTGGAGACCCCCGGAGTTTGGAGACACCGGGAATGTGGCTTGTATGAGGAAAACTACAAGGAGGAAGCACAGCCAGCCTGTGATAGAATCCACAAGGCACAACTCCAGCAGGTGCCGTAGGGGCGGAGCCACCCAAATCCGTTGAAATTTACATCTTGCCACAGATTTCCTTGGAAGCTGGACATGGAACTAAGGACTTAATGTTTGCCCTGCTGGATTTGAGACTCGCTTTGGTCCCACTCCTTTGTATCTCTCTATTTGTACCTTTTGGAATGGGAATTTTTTTGAGACAGGGTCTTGATACATAGTCCAAGCTATCCTCAAACTCACTATGTACCCCAGGCTGGCCTTGAACTCAGCAATCCTCCTGCCTTAACCTCCTGATGCTGGGACTACAGGAGTGTGCCACCACGCCCAGCAGGAATATTTGTCTTGTGCCACTGTGTTGAAAGTGTTTAACTTTCATTTGCACAGAGGCTGGTAGCTAAGAGTTTGCCTCAAGTCTCAGGGGAAACTTTGGACTTGGACTTTGCAGCAGTGTTGAAACTGATAGGACTCTGGCAACTCTTGGAGATGGACAACATGCCTTTTGCCTAAAGGGATGAGCATGAGTCTTTGGCGGTGGCAGGGGGGCAGGGGCAGAATGTTATGGTTTGTATCTGGGTGTCCCCTCTAAAGCCTCATGCAGTCATGAGTGGGGCTTTTCAAAAGTGGCTGGATCTAGAGTGTGATGCTGGGATCAAGGGTGTGATTACTTAGTCCACTGATTGGTTTGGCACAGGTATGGGTAGGATTACAGATGCTCCGCCTGGGCGTAAGGATGCTACTCAAAGGGGAGGGGGTTTCCTGTAATGGAATATAAGGGGAAGTGGGCTGCTATACTTGCTGCTTGATACCCTGCCGCTCTGCTGCCTTCTGCCTGCCATGGACTGCTTCTCTTCTTCGATGCCTCTCTGCCATGTCATTCTGCCTTGGAGCCAGCCAACTATGAACTGAAACCTCTACAAACTGTGAGCCAAAATAAATCTTTTCTCCTTTAACCTTTGTGTTGGGTATTTTGTTTCAGCATCAAGAAAAAGTAAGACACTTGGTTTGATCCTTCAATCCTCCTGCCTCAGCCTCCCAGAGTGCTGGGATTACAGGCATGTGCCACCATTGTTGGTATGTAGTTTATTGTAGGGGACACAAATTAGCACCTTCAAGCAATTAAAGAGATCTAGAGGGCAAGTTCTGGGAGAGCCCTGAACGCACAACCATGTCTCTTCCTCACAAAATCAGGTGGTCACTGGTTATATTCACCAGCTAGGAAGCTGCAATGAAACATCACTGGTTATGTTTAACAGCTAGGAAGCTGCAATGAACTCTGTCCAGAATTGCAACCAAATTTTATAACCACAAAATTACTTAACTCACTGCTAGAGAGCAGTTCTGCCTTCCCTCCTGGCCTCAAACCTCTGCCCAGATGGCTGTGTGCACAGCATGACTGCTCCCCTTCCTGCAGCTAGTATGGGTCCGCCCCGAGTCACCACCTCATCCCTAGCAGGCCAAGAATTCTAAGGGTTTAGTTTCTCTCTCAGACCAATTCTTCGCCCTACAACACGCAGTATGGCCAGTTTTTCATCAGCTGGCTGCCAAGCCCTCACTGCGCTCCAGCCCAGCCTTTTATCCTGAAGCCCACAATCTCCATTCAGAGTCACTGGTCCTAAGCAATTCTGCCCCTCTGCTTTCTTTGGCTGGGACTTCGCCTCTCATCATTTGCAAATGGGTCGCCTGTGAACAAGAGCATTCTCCGGGAACCACAGGAGAAACTGACAATGCTATCACGATGTCATTGGATATGTGGGTCATATTTAAAGTTCTCCGTGCTTTATAAATGGTTTCCAACCCCACACTGGGTCCAATCTAGGATCACTCATTACACATTGTTTTTGTTTTTTCTAGTAATGGGAATTGAACCCAGGAATTTCGCACTGAGTTACATTTGCAGGCCTTTTTATTTTGAGACAGTGTCCCGCTAAGTCGCTAAATTGCCCAGACTGGGCTCGAATTTATGATCCTCCTGTTTCAGCCACCCAAAGTAGTGGGACTACAGGCGTGCACCGCCATACCCTGCTTTGGCCCTTTCTCTTCTAAAGAAGCTTTTCATGTTGGAGGGACTGGGTGCGCTAAATGGTCTGGAGCGTATCTGTGCGGAGACGGTCAGCGTCCTCGCGTGCACCCCAGTGTAGGAGGTTCGAACAACCCAGTCTCTTAGAGTCTCACGATGGTGGCGTCACACACTTTCTCGGAAGTGCGTGCTCCTTGCGCTCCGGACAAGCTCCACGCCCCCGGAAGTGCTTGATCCCCGCGTTCCCGGCAGGCCCCGCGGCTCCGGAAGTACTAGCTACTAGCTCCGGTGTCCGGGCACGTCCCCTGCAGACATGGATCAGCCCCGCAGCCCCACCCCGGCGGCCCTCGGATCCCTGGACCCCTCCCGACCTCCCCCAGCCTCGGTGACCCTGGCGCAGCTCCTGCAGCTGATGGAGCGAGGACAGGAGCTCCCAGGCCTAGAGAAGCGCCACATCACGGCCACCAACGGCGACCCCACGGCGTCCCGGCTCCCGCGAAGGCCGAAGCCCTGGGAGGCCGCCGCCCCGCAGCCCTCGGGCTCCTGAGGCCTCTGGTCCAGGGCGGCTCAGATCCGGAGCGCCAGTGCCCCACACGGACTTGTGACCCTGCAAACAGGCCACTCCATCTTTTATGCGTTTGTCCTGACCAGATACAACTGGACTGGAGTCTCCTCGGGGCTGCCCACTACTCAGATTCTGGACCAGATTCTCAGTTAAAAATAAAACCCTGCTCCACCGGGGTCTACCGGAACGACCTTCCCACCAGTATCTGCCTTGTGTCTGTTTTCACTGTCAAAATACCACACGGGGAAGCTGCGGTGCAGTTCGGTGGCGGAGCCCTTGCTGGCGCGTGGAGATCCCTGGCACCAAAGAAAACAAGCGACTCAGGCCGCACTGAAGGGCCTGACCCACCGGGATTAGTAGCCGGGAATGACAGCCAGCCAAGCTGGGCACCTAGGCCGGCCTGTTGCGTGCCGGCGACAAAGGGAACCTGGATCTAGGTGGCATTTCCTAGACGGGGTGAAAGGGAAAGGAAGGTTTGATACTAAAATTTGCCCCCAGAACGACCAGAGATCTATGAAATGAAATACCTTGCAGCAACCAATAGCAAAAGCTTTTACAGAGCGTGGGCTTGAGCCGCGTATGCTGGCACATGCCTGTCATTCCAGCTCTCCGGAGGCTGAGGGGGGGGTTTCAGAAACAGCAAAGGGCTGGGCTCACAGCAGAGGACAATCTCCCGCGGGCGGCCCTCAGAGCTCACTGCACCTAAACTGCTTTCCTGACAAAGGTAGAACACATGGTGTGGGCTGCCTTGAAAAGCCCTTGCTAGGGCCGGGCGTGGTGGCACACGTCTGTAATCCCACCACCTGGGAGGCTGAGGCAGGAGGATCGTTGCGAGTTTGAGACCAGCCTGGGCTACAAAGTGAGCTCAAGGCCAGCCTGAACTGCATAGGAAGACCCTGTCTCAGAAAGACCAAAAAAAAGAAAAGCCTGCACTAGGGTAGTATAGTCTGATCACTGGGCATTTTATAAGTGCATGTTTTTTTGATAGCCTCTTACATTTATATGGAATTTTAAGTTGAAAACAATTATTTTAATTGCTGTTTTTTGAGACAGGGTCTTAACTATGTAGAGCACATGGGCTTCAAACTTGAAGCAATCCTGCCTCAACCTCAGCTGGGATTACAGGCCTGAGCTACCAAGCCTCACTTTATGGTTTTAACCATTACAGGAAGACAAGCTAGAAAACACTGGCTCTTTACATGCACGAGTGGAAACAATTCTTATGCTGGGAATGGAACCCAGGGCCTTAAATGCTGGGCAAGTGCTCTACACTGAGCAGCAGCTCCAGGCCTCTTCCCTTATTTAGTAAGACAGATCTGGGCTATAAACCCCAGACTTTCATACCCAGATTGTTTATTGATACAGCATTTTATTTATATGTATATATACACACACACGCATATGTATTTTTTTTTGAGACCAGGTCTTGCTATGTAGCTCAGGCTGCCCTTGAACTCATGGTAGTCCTCCTGACTCCACCTCCCAAGTGCTGGGATTACAGGCATGCACACCACACCTGGCTGATACATCATTTTGAAGAGATACGATTTCACAATAAAGGTAAAATTGCTAACATCTATTCCTGGCAGGTTAAATATGGAACTAACCCATCTAATTAATGACCTCATACCCTGGCAGGCTGTAAGGCACTGTTACCCTCTAACTCAGTTTCACAGCTGTGTTTGACCACGAGCCAACACTGCAGTGAGGCTGATTAGATAACCATCAGCAAGCATCATGGTTGAGCGCGTTTTCAGTATAGCCCAGGCCTGTCTGGCCCCTCCTCACCAACTGCTCAGGACTAGTGAGCCTGAGCAAGTGAGGGTGCAGAAGACACTGCTGAGAATAACCAGCATCACACCCTGGGATCCAGGTGACATCTTTACTTTGGGCAGCCATTTTCCAAACAGATAGTGAAAGGAAGGTTTGATGATAAAATTTAGCCCCACAGTGTCTTCGAAGATCTATGGATTGGTTGTCTCCAAGGAGGAGCCCTGTGAAATGATGACTATGGAGGAAAAAGTGGACGGCCTGCTGCTGGACACTGGTGCTGGTCTCTCGGTCCTTCTTGTCAGCCCTGGCCTTCCCTCTAGCCATCACACCTCAGTGAGGGGAGTCACTGATGAGGTAATCCGCTATTTTTTGCAACCCTTGGGCTGTAACTACTTGTTAGATCATTTTTGCACATCTTTGTTTTCCTGAGAAGCCACTTTGAGGACGCCAACAGGTATTGCAGCAGCCATTGATGGTTT